TAATAGGGATGCGAAAGCTATTTCATGCGTTGCCAAAAAAAGAGGTGGTGTTTCCAGACATGGATTGCTTAAGACCCTGTATATCTCAAAGCGTTGGTTCAGCATTGAAATTACGTAGTTGTGTCATTTTAGCAAATCTGTCACCTACCTTCGGATAATCACTGTCCGAACAGTGAGTGTAGTTTTTTATAAGATCAAATTTGTTTCTTCTTATTGCTGAACTAACAACATTATTGTAAATCTCAGCTGTGCCAGTTTCCCGCAAAATTCTCCAAAACTATATTATATCTCAAAAGAATCAAAAGTCCAATGAAACATTCATGATTACCCTTCATGATTACCCTTCTGTTGAGCGTGTAAAATAAACATTATAGTTTTAAATAATCCCAGACATCATCATCATCAAAAAATAACTTGAAACAAACAACTGGACCATTTGGAAAGTTAGAAATTATATCTTTTTTCCCATTCCCATTCTCTTTCAGGCTTTAGACGGTGGTAATTAATATAATGTGAAACTCTAACAATGTCAGAACAATTATGTTCAGTAGGGTCTTTATTTGCAACATTTGTGCCGCTACGTCTCTCTCTTCATTAAATCTGACAATTACTGCCTCCGCTTCTCACCTCAGTTGTCTGCCAGACAGATTAATTATTGGGGTTCCCGCCAGTATCTTTGTCCCCACTTTCTTGAGTACTGATGGTGGTGTGGAATACACTGATGCACTGGAGAAATTATTGTCATCTTCCAAACGTGCTAGTATAGCACGACAAGAAAGTCCTTCCGCAGTGGCATCTTGCTGGCGAGAGTACATGCAATAAATTATGTTGATAGTACAAGCTGAAGCTAGTAACAAAACAAAAAAAAAAAAAAAAAAAAAAAAAAAAAAAAAAAAAAAAAAAAAAAAAAAAAAAAAAAACACGTGAATTGCGTACTCCCCACTATCATAACGGATGCAGGACGTGTTATCCCCTTTACTTGTTTCCGAGTGATCTGGTTGATAAGAACGGAAATGCAATTTTTAATAGCCCTGATTCAGCTCTGTGTTTCTTCTACAATCAAAATCCTGATCACAATAAAAATTACGTACAAGAATTATAAAGAAAATATATATGGTACCATTTGTTCCTGGTATTCCAATATTGGACCATTTAAATAAAACTGATAATCATTCATATGTGATTAATAATTTTTAGTCGTTTTTTCTGTATTACGTACAAAATGATATTAATGAATTTAAACATAAATAACATATTTTATTATTAAGAGAGTAGTAACAAATTTTATTATCTTTTGTCACATATATACCGTGCACAAAAATGAGCACCAAGAACGTCTATTCTCAGCAGCTTACAAACGAGAAATGAAACGTAATAATCGTATGCGCATGTTCCCTGAATTGCCAAGGCAAGGCCTTGACAGGTTCAAACTGTAGATACGTTGTATGTGAGTAAGAGAAGCTTAAACGGTGACGTGTTCCAATAATGGAACATCGGGCGAATATAAGATAATTGTTTTTCACTTATAAAGCAAGGATCGCTTAAGGTTAAATGTACCGACATTACATCAATTTGTCGCCACCACGTACATTAGGCCCAAATTACATAACTAATGTCTGAATAAATGGTCGATTTTCAATCAGTATACAGCGTTTGATGAATTTATGCTACGAAGCCCCTTGGGGAAAAAATTGAAAAATGAGTTCAGAAATTTTTGCAATAGTTCCGGGAAGAAATTTTAAAAAATTGGGCTTATAGCGCGATGACGGCGTGCGCTCTGAATCCAACGTCGTATCAATTGTCTAAATGGGAAGAAAACCCGCGTTGTAATGTGAAATTTTGCAAAATATAATGTCCCCTTCCCCCATGCCGCGCCGCCGCCACCAACATCGCCGCGCATGGGCGCGCCAGCTCCTTTCGGCTCCTCCGACGGCTCTGAGGGGCTCTGAAGCATTTCGTAAGAGGTAGGAGGATCGAGCTGGGAGCGAGGCAGGGAAGCGGGCGATTCTCTTGTGGCCCGACTAGGATACGTCAGATAATGCTTTCGCTATTTTCCGCATCACAAAATTAGTTTTACTTTCCCGTATACGTGCGTATATAAAAGTCACTCAGTTTCCATACCTACAGGTAAGACGCACGGCAAATAAATTCGGAGAGCCTTGAGTTCTAGTCGGGATGCAGAAAAAAAATTATGCTGGTTGGAAACACTTTGGCAGGTTCATGTTGTAGTATAATATTGCTGAGCAGTTAGAAATAATGTGAGAAAGTATGTGCTGTTGTAACTCCTTTAGTCTATTTTAGAAAACCTTTGTTTTCTCTAGGTTTCATTATCCATTTACGATACAATAATTTTGATGCACTACTCTTCTTTAACTCTAGTAGAGCTGGGACGTTTATGCATGCTTTTAGCCCTGCTATATGCATAATCCCATTTCACTTAAACCAGAGCTGACATGAAACTGTTATACATAAAATGGATAACTATGTGTGATACAAGTTGCATCCAGAAAGTAAGTTTCCGTAAGTCATTAACAAGAAGGATACCTAATTGCCTGAAAAACATTATTTTCGCAGGCACAGCACATATTGCACTCTTTTTCCACATAATCACCACCAGAATTGAGACATCTCCCAATGGAACCTAATGCTACGAATCATTTATGAACCAAGGTTGTAAATTGCTGCAGATCTGTTGCTCCATCCGATAGGCTAAATCT